TCTTGGAGGGAGCGCTTTTCTTGTTTGCATTCAAGAAACTTGGTGCGATAGCGAAAGTCGCTATTGGGGGGCAGGAACGTGGACTTCATTTCATGCATGAAGTCGTCGAGGGAGGGAAAGCACAAAGGGTCCATGAGGCGTTTGGAAAACGCCCAATCTTCGGCACGGCCCTTCAAGTGCGACATCGCGAAAGCGACTCGAGTGTCGTCATCCAGGATACGCTGCGCGTTCGCAGCGGTCTCAACTTGGAGGATCCAGCGGAGGAGTTTGTCGGACTCCGCTCCACCGAATTTCGTGACCTCGAGCTTGATCGGCTTCAACCGGGAGGGGCTTTGTTGTTCGGAGGTATGGAGCGCGTACGTAAGGCGCTCGACTTCAGTCGCGCTGCGTGCGAGTGACTCTTCGAAAGTACGACCATGGGCTGCCATGATAGACAGTTGGCTTTCCAGAGCGGCGTTAAGTGCAGTCAGGGGGGTGACGGCAGCCGTGACGGCTTGGTCAACAAGTCGACCGATGCCCTCCACCAGACGGGCTTGGTTCTCGGGGGAGAGGCCACCGAGAAGGGTTGCAGTGTCTTGTTCGCCGAACACCAGGTACATGCAGTCGAGGACCAGTTGATGCGCTGGCGTAATGGGGGTGGAGGAGGAAGATATAGGCCGTGGACAAACGTGGAATGCTACCAGGTGTAAACGTGTGGGCGCAGAGGAAGGCGCGGTAGATGGTAAAATGAGAAGTGAATTGATAGCGTTATAACAATCTAACGCTATGACTAAGCTAAGCAGGACCAGCCATCTTGAGCTGGTAAACAAAAAGGGCCGGGGGTGGTCCGAAGCAAAGGGACGGCGAACCCTTTGCTGTTTCCTTGGCACTTAGCGGCGTCGTTGGCCGCTCGTGGGTTTGGGCCTGGCTTTGTCTTCAACCTGTGTGCCGTGGTACAGCCACGTGGATCCGGATTTTGTATCCGGAACTGTGACAAGGTGCCCATAGTGCAGCAAGAGGCTGGCGGTTAGACTCAGTGAGCGTAACCACCTATGGTTACACCATCTACTGTCCGGGACTAAACTCGTCGGACACCCCTCTTAGCAGGTCCTTACCATTTGGTCCTTCCGCACGACATGCAGGGGAAGAGACCGGATAGATCGAGTAACCCCCGGGATACCGTCACCCCCCGTTGTCTAATGCCGAAGAGAATCGGAAGCTTCTCGCCATCGCGACGAATAGTCATAACTGCAGTCATCCGGTACGAGTGCTTCTCTCCCTTGGACAGTTTTGTAGTCCCATCGCGCTGCGACCAGATGTATCGCGGAGGCATGTCATACTGGATGTCGGTCTCATCAACATTGTAGACACATTCGTCAGGTACACCATCGTTCTCGTTGTACAAGCGGGCGGCAAAGTCAGTGCGGGTACTTTCGAGGTCTGTCACGGTTTGCTTTGCAAAACTGGCTTGTTGGTGCGTGTGCCCATAGCGGGCACAGAAGCATTGAAGAAGCTTCAAGAAGTTGTCGTATCCGCATTCTTCTTTCTGGAGCTCCATGTACGTTTGGAGCCAAGGTTGCTTGTGCTTCTTGAGGAAGTTGACTATGTGGTTGCACGTACAGTAGGAGCACGCTCTTGGTGGCGCTGGGTGTCTATGAACGCCAGCAGGAATTCGTGTTGAGGGATAATCGGCGGGTGCCTAGCTGCAAGCAAATGCGATGGCTTCTTGTTTCCTTTGAATTCAGTTAGCTCGTTTGACACCTTGGTACGGTGCTGTATGGCACTGACAGACGTGCACCGATCTCGCGGAACGACATATGTGATCGCTCAACGCGAGGGCATGTAGCTTAAGTGATATTGGGTACAGGTGGCGGTGGACCAGGCGGGACGGGTTGGACATATCGTGTTCCATTGTGATGCTGGAGGCGTCGACAAATTGAAAGTGTTGAGGTGGCTTCGCGGGTATTCAATATCGATTTGGCGCGTGTTTATATTTTGACCAATGGGGCCACAGTAAAAACATTCTCGCATTCTATTGGATAATTATGACGTTCGTAATGTTGAAACTTCGGTGTGGCTTAAAATCAGTCGTTCACTGTATATTAATTAAACGTGTATAAATATGTGACCAACAAGAATTATCTAAAATGAGTTGTCTTTATGTAGAGGCTGGACGAAAAGTTGCAATTGCGCCACGCACATGTGGTCCGAGCGAAACTACTCTGCGATCCAGCGCGTTACGTTTGCGTTGACAAACTTTCACTTGTCCTTGCTGCCCTTGCGCCATGATGACGAGGACTATTATGGTCGTGTACTCGGTCGCTACCAACGTATGGCGAATGAATAGAAGTGCAAGCGTCAAGAAACCCAACGCCGGTATCGGTTGAACCGACAAGAGCTTGCTGCTATGGATGCTGTTCGTGCCATGCGCTTCTACGGTACTAGTTTGGCCTCTAAATGCTTTGATTTTTTACCAAGTATGTTATTATTAATAATCAGTGGTCCAGTAAATAATCAGTAACTCGGTCATTTCGGAAACTAACGATTTTTGACACAAACACATTGCTCTTGATATTCTGCAAGGTGAATTCGTGAAGTGTCCCTTGTCTTGATTATTTGTAAGTTACAACTATTTCCGAATGGACGTGATCAAATTGGAAATATGGCAGGTATACAGGAAGCCAGTCATCTACTGGTTTAAAGATCTATTGAACACGTTTTTTTCAAATGTCCCAGATATTCCCAAGCCAAATATTGTGGATTTTCTTCAAATTTCCCAATTTTGCATGGTTTGTTCAATCGAGCACAAATAGAGCCGAGACATCTGATTGGCCATTATCCACTTCGCCCTTTCCAGTAGAAACTCGAAAATGGATTGTAGCCAATCAGCGACGAGTAATTTCGGATTGACCAATGGGAGAGATTGGTGCTCGATTCGCTCAGCGAGATTCGATTTACAGTTAACGGGGTCCGGAAATCATACCGAATCTCCAATAAATATCCACACGTTTCGAATGGATACATCGTCCACTCATGAGATTCCCTTGCATAATCCATTTTGATAAATTTATTACGATATGCAGTATAATTGAACTCAAGGTTGGGCCGTTTTGAATGTTGAAAACGTGTTCAAGGCCAACAAATTGAAGTATCTCGATATTTGAAATTTGGATATATACGGCTTCCAAATATCCGCAAATACTCCGTCCGATATGCATTGAACACGCCCTCAAATAAAATCAGCCGCTCAACCCAAAAATTTCAAATGTTCACCAGACTTGAAGAATGTATGGAGAATGTCTCAAATATATCGAAAACAAAAGGAATCTTCAGCTGTATAGTTTACAGTTAATTCCCAGAAAGGTGTCAATTTCACCCTTGCCATATTCCAGTCAACTTCCATGTGATTGGCTCAAGTAGGGCCTGTCTGGATACCACTTTTATTGAGAAAAATCGCGATAATTTTGCAAAATATTCAAGAATCTCAGCGACTTCAATTTGGCGTGTCTGGATGCCATTTCTTGACCAAGTTATACTCCATAATTTTATCAGAAATATCGTGAAAACCACAAGAAATAATATTCTACTCATGAGTAGAATATTTTGACGATATTGACAGTGCGCGTTGAATTGACTGGGCATTTCGGAATGAGAAAGGCCATCGTGATTGCCTTCCTACGTCGATGGCTCATCCGCCGCCGCCTGGCCAAGGAACTCTTCGCCAGACAGATGGAGTACCACTACCTCGCCTTCGTCCACAAGACACGAAAGAGGACGTCCATCCTCAGTGGTCCTCTCTGGGTGGACGAAGTCCTCTGCGGCTCTGTACTATCCACTGATTGGCTGTTCATTTCCGAACCTTCATTAATTCTATGGCATCCAGACTCACCACCCAAAATAATCTTGGATCTTGAAACCCAAGAATTTCCTGCAATGTCGAAAAATGTTTTTTATTCAATATTCCAATATCCCATAATATTGGTGGGTGGCATCCAGACGGGCCCTAAATAAAATCAATTGTTTTCTAATTTCACAACTATTACTACGTAGTACTTCGAAGTATTAATACTACGTAACTTAGTACTACGTAGTAGTAGAATGTCCAAACGTGTCAGTGATTTGGGACGGAGTGGTATTTCGAAGTATACACACATTCCTTGGAAGTTGGTAAAGAACCTACATTTTGAGGAATGCTGGTTGATTGGTAAATGTATCTGATTTCGCAGGCCATCGCATTATAATTCAAAACTGAAATTGTGTTTCTGAAACACAGTTGATTTTGTGTTCTTTTGATAGTATTATATTGCCTGGTAGTCTTGAAGTGACACCCCAAAGGTCACAACACTCTGATTTGAAAGT